CAAATGTACCTATTATTTGGGATAAGATTGACATTGAAACCTTGAGTGTTTGATGGTTGAAGTTTGCACACAATATAAGGCAAGTTTGGGCTTGATATAGATTATATGATAATCTTTTCTAGGATTAGAATAAAAGTGATTTTTTTGGGGAAAATTTGGAGCACTTATTTGAACCAAGATTTGCTTCAAACTTCAACTAAATTTCTTTTCAATTCTTTGTTTCAAATTCCGACATTAAATTTTCTGACATAATTCATTTAAGTTCTAAAAACCTAGCAAAACATTAAAAAAACTTCGTTACTAAAAAGCACATCAATTATTATAAAAACACAAATAAAAACAATAAATACATATGTAAAATAAAAGACTTAATGATACTTTTGATGCATAATCAACCGATATTTGTACTATGAAAGGAACTTAATTTATTATTAATATAAGTTATAATTATGAATACCTGACAACATTTACAAGTATTAGCATTATTCAAATAAGATAATTAATGTAATTATGTTAATAACTTATAATCTAATTGAAACCTCCTTTGTATGTGGTTTTCAATTGTGTAATAAAAAGTATTTATACTATACTTGTTTGAAATACCATTAGTAGATCCTTTAACCTTGACATTTATTTTTATCATTGTTTGATCCTCATATTGATCTCTCCCATCTCAAAGTTCTCATCAAGTTCTTCTTTTTCTTTACTTCTACTACTATTGTTATTATTGTATTATTGTTGTTTATAATTTATACAATTAATTTTCTTATGGTTCAACTCTGATCTTGTCGGGTTATTTATTACTTTGACACTCCTACACTAGGAAAAAAACATCAATATTTTGGTTGTGTCATAATCCTAGTGTAATTTCTTCTACAAAACCTTTTGCATTAACTCATTATGACATTTGAAGTCCTTATCGACACCTTTCCATTTCTGGTGCTTGTTTTTTCTCACTATCGTCAATGATTTTACATGTTTCACATGGATTTTCTTAATGCAACACAAAAGTGAGATACAATCACTTCTAAAACATTTCTTCAATTACATTTTCACTCAACTTGAAGCTCATATTAAAATGTTTAGAAGTGATAATGGGGGAGAATTTATCTAACTTTGCCCTTTTTTTTAAGATAATGGTGTTCCTTTCCAACGTTTTTGTGTTTACACACCTCAATAAAATGGGGTTGTGGAACACAATCATTGTCACATCCTACAAATAGCTCACATTTTGAGATTTCAAGCTCACCTCCCAACCTAATTTTGGGGGAATGTGCTTTTATTTCTATTCACATCATTAATCGCCTCCCTTTTCTTGTCATCTCTTTCAAAACCTTTTTTGAACTTTTCTATTCAAAACCACCTTCATTTTCTCATCTTCGTGTCTTTGGTTGTTTGGCTTATGCTACCATTGTTTGTATTACTCATAAATTTGCTCTCCGTTCCATCCCTTCTATTTTTCATGACCACCTTCATTTTCTCATCTTCGTGTCTTTGGTTGTTTGGCTTATTCTACCATTGTTTGTATTACTCATAAATTTGCTCTCTGTTCCATCCCTTCTATTTTTTATGGTTATCCTATCAGTTAAAAGGCTTAAAAATCATTTGATTTATCAACCAAAAAGATTTTTACTACCAATAATGTCACATTTCATGAAAATATTTTCTCTTATGCACATGTCCATCCCACTCTTTCATCTCTACCTTACGATACTGGACCCATTCCACTAATCCACACCGACACCATCTCTTTTTCCTTTTAATCATCCACTACATAATTAAAAGGTTTTACTAACAGATTAATTTTGTTAGTGTCAGACACATAATTCATCTGTAAAAATGTTATTGATGGAATCTGTCTGTTAGAATATTGATCATTGATAATTTCTCATTTTGTCACTAATTCGATCAGAAATTAAAAAAACCACACGCTAACAGAACACCAACGTTATTACAAATAGAGGAGCACACCAAAAGAAAAATTTCCAATAAGAACTTTACCGATGGAATGATTCTACTTGTATTTTCAACAGTAATCACTAACGGATTTGTCGTTAGTAATTATGGTATTGGTAGTAAATATTTCAAAACTCTTTGTAAAATACCAACGGATATGTCCGTCAGTAATAACAATGGTAAGCACTGATGAAATATATTCATCGGTTATTGTGGCATGGGTGGTAATATTCGTGTAACTCTCGGTAAAATACCGACGGCTTAGTGCTGTCGGTAAGGTTGTTGGTATTGATTTAAAATATTTTTTAAAATTATTTATTAATAGTAAAAAAACTAATTAACCAAAAAAATTATATTAAACATTAAAAATAATATTAAATAATATTCATCCAAATATTCATTACAAATTTAATGTGTTTCAAAAACAAAATTAACTAGAATAACACTGAAGTTAGAGGAGGAGGAGGCTGGTTGTTCCCGAAACCATACAGCCAAAAACGAACTACACATGTATCATCAGCTATATTTGATTGAATGTTCATGACCATTTGTCGTTCATATTGTTGTTTCAAGGCCATGAACTCTTCAGACTAGGTGCTCAATATTGATGCAGAGCTCCCAATTGTTAAAACATTATGGGATTTTCACAAGTTTTTAGCTGTAGTGTTGGAGAGCCCATACACCTTATTTTTATCAGGTCTACCAAATGATCCTACCTCCATCCATAAATCAAGATCGAAATTCCAATGGGTCGAAGGATCATCCTCATATTTCTCCCTAAATCAGCTATTATAGGTCTCTTGAATTTTCTTTTTGAAAAATCATCATATTCAATTCAAGAAAATAATAACTTATGAAATAAAATAATTGAATGAATATATCATGAAATATTAAGCACGGTTGTCCACGAACTGTTGCACCCCCTTTTGGTAGTCTTGATTCCACACATGTGTCTCTATGAACATCTGCATTGAGCTCGGCTCACATCCAATAAACATAGCCTGTAAGGAAAAAAAGGTTGCAAGTTAAATATAATTATAAGCAACAATAAATTAATCAATAATATATATAATTTAAATTAATCTTTCCATCTGCTTCGCATGTGTACTGAATGGGATGGAGCCGCCGGTGTGCATGGTCACCGAACCATGAATTTACTGGTTCTTGTTGTTGATATCAGACTGTGAACATCATGCGAACCGCTCAATCATCACGTGCTCAATATAGTTCATCCATATATCCCCTGAGATGAATGGCAATTTGAATTCACAGTGAACCGCCACCTCATTCCATCTTTCAAGACATTTATCTCTCGCATATCTTTTTGCTTTATTTTTTTATGTGTCATACCAAAAATCACGTAACCTACTTTCATAGTAACAAATTAGAATTTAAAACATAAAATTATAAAAACAAAAAATTATATTATTTTTTATGTTACCTAATGTCGTATAATTCTCCCATGCCCTCCTCACAACATTGTTGTCTGCACTATCCCACTCAAATTTATATTGTGCATAAATAATTTATTTAAAATAAAAATAGTACAAGATATAAAATTATAAACATAATTTATTAAAAATAAGTTGGAAATTAAAAGTTAACACCTACGTGAAATTGTCGAAACCATGCATCGATATCAAGTCTCCACTCAAGATGTTTAGAAACCTAACTCCATTGAAACAATGAAATCTCCATCGATGATTTAAATGCTGATGTTATTGTCTAGAAAGCCTCAATGTTTGTGAACCTGAAATTAAAAAAAATTAATAAAATATTAATTAGTTCATAAATTATGTTATAAGTATATTAAAAAAAACCTGAAACAAACTGACATTGAAAGGTCATTCTTCCATTATGTCTGGTACTTATTGGTGAATTAACCTCGCTGTGAAGGCATAATGCTTTTACGTTGTGAAACAACACTAGAAGAGGCAGCATCACAAGTTGGCACAGCTGCCTCTTCGTGATCAACATTTAAGTATAAGTCATCTTCGCTGCAACCGTCTAACGACGACATGCTATTGATTTCATTCTACGTATCTACATAAATTTATATGAATAATTATATAATTAACTTTCATTATTTAAAAAAAATCAGCAACACCTCCTCTATACTGGAGATTACCCACAATTTTCAAACCTGTGAATCTTTACAATAACCATAAACCAAATGACTCCATTGAAAACAACCTAACATCCATAGAATTTTAACATCTATATATTTTCAACTAACATCTATAGAAATGCATAATGACAATTAAAATTAATGGAAATAATAAAAAAAACATAACAATCAATAATAGAATAAAGTTGAGATAAAACAATGAAATTTAATTCTTCATCTCCAATTTCCATTTCCATGGAAAATTCAACAATAACAATTAAAAAAGACTAAATTTTCAAATAATTATCACAATACAAACAATAAAATAATTAAATTTTCATTTTACACATCTACATAAATTTATACGAATAATTAAATAATTAAATTTAATTATTTAAAAAAATTCACTAGCACCTCCCCTATATTAGAGACTACCCACAGTTTTTATACCTATAAATATTGATAATTACACAAATATTACAAAATCAATTCTATACAACCTAACATCTATATATTTTCAACTAACATCTATACAAATTCATAAATAAAAATAAAAATTAATCAAAATAATAAAAAACATAACAAGCAATAATATAATAAAATTAAGATAAACTAATTAAATTTAGTTATATATTTCAATTAACATTTTAAAGTTAAATTCAACAATAACAATTCAAATTTAACAAAATTTTCAATTATTATGGCAATACAAACAATAAAATAAATTGAACAAATAAAAATAAAAAAAATAAAGAGTTTAGGAATGAAATTTTTTTACCTTAATAGTGTGTTAATTTCAAAATTTTATCTACAAACAATACACAAATAAAAAACACCACAAAAATAATTATAATTAAAAAAAGAGTAAAAAGATAAAAAATAAAAAATAAAATCATACCTTTTAATATATTAAAAACTACAATCAAAACAACACATCATGGCCTCTAGGTACTCTGAGCCTCCTGCCATAGCAATTACTTCACTAGTTTTGCTTCTTCTTATTTCCCTTCCACCCAGAATCCTCTCACAAAATTCCCCCATCCCCACTGACCCAACAGTAACTGATTGCACGCCAGGGCTGCTACCACTGGCCCCATGTGCCCCATTTGTTCAACGCATGGCTCAGACACCAGTTCAACCTTGTTGTGACAACCTCAACCAACTCGACCAGGAGCAGCCTGGTTGCATTTGCCTCTTGCTCAAAGACACCAACTTGAGCTCTTTCCCAATTAATCGCACCTTAGCCCTGGAGCTGCCTGTTCTTTGCAACGTGCAAATTAACATTGCTGCCTGTTCAGGTATATAATATAATCTGAACATTCTAGATCATAGAGGCTGTTGTTCTTTACAGTAATTCAAATCACATTTTCAAGACGAGAAAGATTTAACTTTTTTTCTTTTATTTTCTCATTATGCATTTTATTTACCACTATGTGTGCTAAAACCTCGCAATTTCTTGGTGAATCAGGGACCCTCAGGTCCTCTCTAGTCCACCTGCTTCTCAAGTTTACCCGGGAGAACCCTCCAATTCTTCTGTTGGGAGACACACCGAATATTCTTTTGCTTGGTATTCATAATATTAATTTGGCTTTACATGCATATATTTCATTCTTAGGTGAATCCTTTATTATCATTACAGAATGATGGTCCCCTTATCAGTGTTTAGAAGTAGAAAGTGTTTTTATTAACAATCTGCGTCTGGTATTTTATTTTTCTTTCCTGACCATGCTTCTTGTTTTCTTTTGGAACTCAGCTTCTCCCGTGGTTGAAGGCGAGCCAAGATCTTCCATCATGGGAATCGGATTTCATCGGAGTACTGGTGTTAAGTTGGAGGCAGAAGGTTCTTTGATGCTACTGGTGACTCTGGCTGTCATTTCTTTATCAAAAGCATTTCGTTGGGTCTGGGTTAATAATAAGCATGTTGTGTTTATCCTATATTGGTATTCTTAGTCTTAGTACTTGGGGAAATACAGTACCAGTTATGATGTGATTTCTCTTCATTGATTTATATCCGTATGCAACTCCTCTACTGGTTTTAAACAGTATCTAGTTGTTTCTTATGGATGATTGCACCTGTATCAGAAAAGGTCAACCAGTTTGGAGTGTAAAAGGTTAGTGCTTGAACGGCATTTTTAAACCTCCAGTGATTTTATTGCAGAAGGCTATGCAATAATGAAATCGCAGCCAAACTACACGGATGCTAATTTAATCATAAGACATGAACCCTTGAATCCCACCTCAAACCAAAACGCCACTTATCACTCAAAGTGAGCAGGAGGAGTCTATGAAAATACATTTGAGTAGCAGGTAGACAAAGGACGAAGAGAACAGCCGGAAATTACCTAGCAATTTTTTTGTCAAGATGAAAGTATCAATATGATTTTCCCATTCCACTTTGAGTTTTTTCCCTTACTTGAGAGACTCCGGACGCTCCTTTTCCTAAGCTACTCTGAGCTAACAGCTGCTTTCTTTGCCACGAATGGACGTGCATATAAATACAACTTGAATATCTTGAAAATGCCGAGTATTTAACCATTTCTTCCCAAAAGTCCTATTCCAAATAATTTCCCAGATGGTTTCTCTGGTTAAGAATGGAAGAATTAGGACAACCCACACAACCCCGCCCCCCCGCCCTCCATCAACTCTCAAGTTTTCAGTTGAAAACTCTTTCCAAGTTCAGCAAATCAGAAGACTCGCATAGAAACTGAAAGCGAGAATTTCAGACCACACAAAAATATAGTGTGCTAGTAAACTGAACTCATACTAGGAATTTTTCTGTATCAGTATCTCACAAAATAATTACATACATACATTTGAAAAGTTACAAAATAGAAGCATTACCTTGTCAATCAAAGACATTCTTTTGTAGGATCTATATCATAGTCCAGAAGTAGAGATTCTTCACATTCATTATAGAGTGACTATTCCAAACTAGGTGCCACCTCAGTTGGATTGGAGTCGAAGACATCAGAATTAGATGCTTCAGGCTCTTCTAAAAGATCCCGCGACTGGATTGACTCTTTGTATGCAGGTGTCTCCTTAAAATCTGCGGCCCCTCCATTGTACGTAGCCACGGCAATCCCACATGCAACTAGCTGACAAAGATAAGTAGAACATTAGCCCTAAAGAATAACAAAGAAACTACTTCCGCTAATCTAAACTGAGAGAGGAATCTACTACTGGAGATAAAGTAGCAGAAATCATTCACAAAAATTAAAGCTGCAAGCCAACAGTCTAGAATTGATAGGCTTCTATAAGAAGTAGCTTCAAATTTTCCACTATCCAAACAGAATTAAGGGTTCTCAGTCGTCGTAAGCTTGACATGCACAGGGGTCAAGCAGAGATAGTTTCCAACTTCCATGTGCTTATTCTTTTTCTTCTTTTCTTGCGGAAGCGAAAGAAATAGTAAGAAGAAAACTTTCATAACCTTGGTCATAGCTAGTCAAATAGCAAGAAAACTAGTATTCCGAGTTAGAAAATTCTATCCCCGAATATCCAAAAACATTTCTCTATCTGTATCTTCGCTTCGTATTCGTTTTTATTTTTATTTCCATATTAGCCAGATCATGCACTGGTAAAGTAAAACACAATCAAATGTATTAAAGAAACAAAGGATCACCCTTTTATTCTTCCATTACATTACATTTCATTACATAATAACAAACGTATCCTAAATTCATACACAAATGGAGTATTAATTTGCAGCTACTTGAAACCATACAAAAAATCTTCTACCCATTGATTTCTAAGAATTGTTAGAGTATATATCTATAAGTAGTTAATAATTGTAATTGCATATCAGATATCCGAGATCATAACAGGGACAGAGCACAAAAAGTTCCTAGATCACATATAATAACAACTTAAGTAATCATTCTCGAAAGTACAACCAAAAGCATAGGATAAGAAATTGGTAATTTATAGTCGTATGTACAATCTTTTTCAAGCAAAAAACCAGAAAATGGAAATATACCATGCATATGAGGCAAATAACAATAATTAACAGCAGAAAGCCAGAAACAAGAGCAACAATACTTGAACAAAAGATAAAAGTAGACAGGCATATCATACCGCAAAAACAATACCAAAAGCCCACATGTACTGCACGAAGAAGCCAAGACCATCCCACTGTGGACCTTCCCAGAAATCAGGCTCATCCCCAGGAAGCTCCGGCAAGAAATAGCCATCATAATTCTCACCAACACTTGTACTAACATTTTTAACTTCACCGTTAACATTTTCATCACCACCACTACCATCCCTTTTATTCTCTTCTTGGTCTTTGGTCGAAGTAGTTGAGCTCCTCCTGTTCTTGCTGTCAAACTTGCCAATTCTAGAGACGGAGGAAAGTTTCTTGTTGGAAGCTGAGACTATATGGAGGTGATCTTGAGGTGATCTTCTGAGTGGAAACAGGAAATGAGGACGGCATGGAGTGTGGGTGTAAGGGTGGTGTCTCGAGGGGTTGGTGTAGAGGGTTCTGCCTCCACCACCATTGCCATTGGCTATGAAGAGAGACATGAATTCGGGAGCGAGGAGATGAGATTTTGCGAACAAGGAGACTAGTATTGTGAGGATAAAATGCAAGCCTTTCTCTGTGTTCCTCTCTACTTTTGTGGGCTTGGCTTAAACTGGTAGGCCTAGTCTTTATTGTGCATTAAAAATATCAGTATAACTACTTTCAATTGGGTCTAAAACTGTGTTCCTTGTCCATTACTTACAATTGTTTTTGCAAACACATAGGGAAAAAAAAAAACAATTTTCCTTTATTCTTTTTAATTTTCTTCTTTTTTTCAGTTTTTTTAATGAAAAATTAAAAAAATACATGTTCATTTCTTAAAGTTTCACAACATTTATCGAACTCAGAAAACTAGAAAATGTGTTTATATTATATTACTTTTCATTTGAAGAAAAATCGTATTCAAATTAAATATATTTTCTATGATTTTTTTATATTTTGATATACTTAAATTTTTTTTCCTAATATCAAAAGATATTTTCCTAAAAATCATTATTGTCTATTTTTTACTTTATTTATCTTTATTTCGAGAAAAGTTTTTCATCTTATTAAATTAAATCAAATGTAAGATTAAACCCAATAAAAATAAGATATTTTCACTATTAAATTTTTATTAAATAAAATTCAACACCTGAAACAATATTAATTAAAATATAATAAAATTCTTAAAAGTTATTATATTATTCCAAAGAACAAGAAAATAGAGAAAGAATCTTGAGGGTTGGACCATTTAAAACAATCGTATTATATTTACGAATTCGGCCAAAATATAAAAAGAATTTGTTAATAGCTTTGCTAACTCATACTACTTATTGTTAAACATCAACAACTCTGCTTGTCATTGGGATTAACTTCATAACATTCACCGTGACTGAAGTTAGAAAAATCTAACAGCTTGATTATCCAGCAAGTTCCCAAAACATATAAATTATTTTAACTTTAAAGCTAAACATTTTTTTATGTCAATGAAATCATTAAAATAATAAACTTTTTTTCAAACAACATGGCCACCATTTATATAAGACAATTGACATTGATAAAAATATATGAGTAATGGGAATGTTACTGGCTGAAATAGCTAACAATCAACATTACTTTCATTCCAAATAAAAATTATGCAGGTGCTTGCTTACATTTTGTGCAAGTGTTACATGATGGCCACATTACATTGAAAACATCTTATTTTTATTTCCTTCTAAAACCCTTAACTTATATATCTTCTTTACCCACTCTTTTTCCTTGATATCTTCAACAAAGAATTAATGACAAGTTTTAATGGTCTTTTTTACGGGGGTATTATATTGTAGAAGGGATTTAATCATAATTGGATTGATTTATAAAGCGATGTGTGTCCATGACACGACCAAAAGATTGATGTTTTCTTCCAAGTGTAGAAGTGTTGAAGTAATAAATAACTCGGCAAAACCGGGATCGAACCACAGAAAGGTTAATTGTATAAATTATTAATAACAATGACACAACAACAACAAATCCATAATAATAACAATAATAATACTAAATACTAATACTAATACTAATACTAATACTAATACTAATAATATTATTAATAATAATAATACTAGTATAATAATAATAATAAAGAAAAAAAAAGAAGATGAGAGCTTTGAGATCGAAGATTAATGTAAGGATTAAACAATGATAACAACAAATGTCAAGGTTAGACGATCTAGTAATGCCATGTCAAACAAGTATAGTATAAACTCTTATTATTCAATTGGAAACTACACACAAAGGAGGTTCTAATCATATTATAAATTGTTAACATGATTACATTAGTTATCTTATT